CCTGGGGCTGGACACAACAGTGAGCTCTTGAGATGGTTTCCTTTGCACATTGGAGAAGCGTTGGCACTTATTGCATTTGCGTACAAACTCTACAGCGTCCCTTTTCAGGGTTGGCCAATAATACCCTTGTCTAAGTATCTTGTGAGCCAGGGTGGTCCATCGAAGTGATTCCCGTAAACACCTTCGTGCCTTTCTCTGAGGATGTAATTCGCTTTTTCTGCTCCTACACATCTGAGAAGGGCAAAGAGAAGCCGCGTTTATATAGGATATCATCCTGTAAGACGAAGTGAGGAGCTCTACTTCAAAGCCTTTATGCTTCGGTTTCAACCTCTGGCAAAGTTCGTTCTTTCAAGTAGGCAAGGATAGGTAGCATCTATAGCGGTGTGCTTTCGACCCATATCAGCTCCTCACCTTTTTTGATGGAGGGTTCAGCTAGGTGCACAATTGGCACTACTTTGAACAGCTCAAAATCTTTGTTGCTGTCCAGCTTTAAGAAAGCGTCTGCATGAGAGTTCTCTTGGAGAGGCACCTGGATCAGCACGAACCTCTCGAAGTTCGGCAGAGAATTCATAACCAGCCTTAGATAGGCTGCCATGTGTTTGTCTCTGGCTACGAAGTTTCCATTAACTTGATTTACCACCAACTGTGAATCACTGCTGATGATGAGCCTCTTCACTTGCAATTCTTTGGCTAATCGAAGCCCAGCTAAGAGAGCATCGTACTCAGCCATGTTGTTGGAGGCCTTGAATCCGAGCCTCATAGCGCAGTTGAGCTTGTGTCCTTCTGGGCTTTCTAACACAAAACCAGCTCCAGAACCTGCGTCTCTAGATGAACCGTGGACAAAGAGATTCCAAGTAGGGGGCTCTGTAGGTTCTAGGTTTATTTCAATCTCTAGAACCTTTGCGAATTCTGCGATGAAATCAGCTAGGACTTGGCCCTTGATTGCGGTTCAAGGCGTGTACATTATGTCAAATTCACTGAGCTCCATGGCCCATTTTAGCAGTCTCCCTGATGCGTCTGGCTTCTGCAGGACCTATCTTAAGGAAAAATTTGTCAGGACGCGAATGCTATGGGTCTGGAAGTATGGCCTCAACTTTCGAGAGGCGGTGACCAGCGAAAGATTCAATTTTTCCATGTCTGGGTAATGCGCTTCGGCAGGTAACAAGGCTTTTCTCCCATAATAAATTGGCATTTTCTTCCTCTCACACAAGTACTAAGCTGATCGAGCTTTCGGCTACTGCAAAGTAAAACAACAAAGGTTCTCCTTCGTTTGGTTTGCTAAGGAGGGGTACTCGTCCCAAGTAGTTGTTCAACCCTTGGAACTCCTCCTCGCACTCCGGGGTCCATTGGAACTTTTTGCCTCTTTTGAGGACTTTGAAGAAGGGTAAGATGTAATTTTTTAATTCTTGGAAGACCTCCTCACACTGCGGGGTCCATTGGAACTTTTTATTTCCTTTGAGGACTTTGTAGAAGGGTATTCACTTTTCAGTGGCCCTCGAGATGAAGCGAATCAGTGCGGCTTCCCTACCAGTGAGACGTTGTACTTTTTCGGCTTCTGTGGCGACCTCATCTCGATTAGAGCTTTGATTTTATCCGAGTTGGCCTCAATTCCCCTTTGATTCACAATGTAGCCCAAAAACTTTCCTGAGGCCACGCCAAAGGCACATTTCAAAGGGTTCAGCTTCATGTGGTATTTTCTTAATGTATGGAAGGCCTCGGATAGGTGTCTAATATGCTCGTTGGCCATGAGGCTTTTTACAAGCATGTCGTCCACATAAACTTCCATTGTTTTGTCGACCTGATCAGCAAACATTTTGTTGAGCTCCACTTTGGTAAGTGGCTTCGGTAAGTAGCACTCTCTGGATCCCATCTGATCACCTCGGACAATGGAAATTCCTCGTTCTATGGGGAACTTTATGCAGAGGTGATGTATAGAAGTGACTCTCCATAGCTCCTTCAGAGCGGGTCTCCCCAAAACTTCGTGATAAGCGGATCGGTGATCAACAACTAGGAATTCCATGAAGTGATGTGCCACTTAGGGTAAAGCTCCCATTTCTACAGCCAAAGTAATTTTGCCTATGGGAATTATGCTGTCTCCAGTGAATCCATAAATGGGCGAGCTCATTGGTATTAGCTCATGATCCACTACCATCTTGTCGAACATTATCCCAAATAAGATGTTGACCGAACTGCCGTTGTCCACCAGCATGCGTTTTAGCCCGTTGCGGGCTACCACAGCTCTGATCACCCGGGCGAAGCAGTGAGGGAAGTACACATTTCTACCATCTTCCTGAGTGAATGTAATAGGCTCTGCAGCCCTGCCATTGTGTGATTGGTTTACTACATAATTGGCCATTGGTGGGGCTCTCATTTATCTGGTGTAGTTCCTTTGTGCATTTTTTAATTCACCTCCTACATGAGGTCCACCAACGATGGTGTCGATCTCCCGAATGGGCTGCTATTCATTGGAGGGGGCAAAATCTCTTCTGGGACGTTGCTCGCTTCGGGCCTGTCCCTATCATTGTCCCTGTGATTATGGGAAGAATGTCGCCTTGTTTCGTCCCTTCGAGGGGAGCTTTTCCTTGGATTGTTACCTTGATAATGGTAATTTCTGGTGTCACGAGGGTTGCTCAGGGGCCTATTCATCTCTCTACATTCACTTGTATCGTGCCCGTAAAGACGGTGAATGGTGCAGTAGGGTCGCACTTCCTGGGGCCTATCTCTAGGCCTCCCACATCTTCCCTATTTCTAGAGGTCGAGAGTCGCCCAGTATTTCTAGCCGAGTTGCTTGTGCTTGGCTTAACATTTTCATAAGCCAAGGTGGGGACTGCATTCAAAGTGGCAGTGGCTGGTGCCTATCCCGAAGTGGAGGCCACAGTATGTCCGGCTTGAGTCCATTGCTAGCTCACTATTTGAGACGTGGGTCCCCTGTTCATCTACCTTTGAGGTGGTGGGAGCCTTTAGGCGGCTCTATTTCTATGGTCAATGATTCTTCATTGATAATTTCAACTTTCATCATTTCTACCATTTATCATACATCAAAGGGTTCTTGTTTCGAACGTCTCTCCAGAATAAAGTGTTCATGTTCAAACCTCCTTTCAGGGCTGAAAGGGCCTCCTTATCGGTGACTTGCTCACAGTAGGTTATCTCGTCGGTGAAATGGGCGAAGCAGCTCTTTAGGGTCTCCCCTACTGCTTGACTCATGTCTTGCAAGCGTTAGATTGGCACCTCTCCTTCTTTCGTTGATAAATATTGGTTTAGGAATGCATTTTTCAGGTCTGGCCAGCTTCTTATGCTGAGTGGTGCCAATCTGCTGTACCACACTTCAGTAGCTCTACCTAGAGTTAGATGGAATGCTCTACATTTCAAAGCTGGCGAGGCGCCTCTGAAGCTCATTTGGGTTTTATACTCATTCAGATGTTTCTTTGGGCCGCCCTTCCCTTCATACTTGGGGATCTTTGGATGGATAAAGTTGTAAGGCATCGGAAAAGTGCGAAGCTCTCTAGAGAAAGGTAAGTTATTATCGTCATCGTCCAGTTGGTAATACGTGCAACGTTCGTCTGAGTCGTTCCCCTCTACTGCTGGGCGAGGTGGAATTTGAGCAGTTTCAGCCCTGTTTTCCCAATTCACTTGACTTCGCCTTTCCCGCCTATTTCTAGGTGGAGGGGCCTAAGCCTCTTGGCTTTGTGTATGCCCCTGCTGGCGAGCTGTTTACTGCGGGGGCTGATTTCTATTTCTAGGCGCTCGTCTGATTCGGTCAAAACACTGGTAGACCTTTGGGGATGCTCCTCGTACTCCGGAGGGAAATTATATTCTTCTGCAGGAGCGTCATCATCCGGAGCAGCTGTATAGTGGGAGGTATCCATTCCCACTTCTCTTTCAACAGGGACTTCTTCATGGGAACTGAGGTGAGTCCTCATGCTGGATTCAGCCTTAGTTCGTCTATGGGCTGATTGGTTAGGATTTTGGGAGGCTTGAAAACTGCCCTAATTTTGTACTCGCATGAGGAGCTCTTGCATGGCTGCATTCTGTACTGTAATGGTCCTCATATTGGCAGCCAGATGAACCACTTCGACTGTTAAGAGTGCAGCAGTTCAACCACCTCTTCGATAACGGTGGTGAGGCCACTGCTGCGTGATGTTTGTTCGAATAACCTCTTCTTCAGAGACGTCCCTTGTTCTCCTTCCATTCACCTCTTCGTCGCTGGAACTCATGTTCCGAAGCGAGTGTGTTAAGATGTAGATGACCCTTTTTCAAGAATCAATCCCTTTTTCAAGCGGGAGTATCAACCGGGTATTCAAGCAACTTTTGGTGGGAAGACTCGTAGTTAAAGTAAGTTCCCACAGACGGCGCCAATCTGTTGACCTCGAAAAATGGCTCCGACACGTGGCCAATAGAAAATGTCTTCATGTCGCTCTTCCTGCAAATGTGGCACGTCGTTAGTCACTAGTGGCCTTTCTCTGAGGGGTTGATTCAAGTCAGCTCTTCCTGCACACGTGGCACGTCGTTAGTCACTCGTGACCTTTCCCAGAGGGGAGCGACCACAAGGACTCCGGCGGTCAAGTCAGCTTGAAGTTCAACCGGAGAAGAGTTAGCTGATTTGACCGTTTGAGTCCTGCCACGCGTCCCATCAGTCAGTGATCTGACTTTGGAAAGATATTTGTACAAGAGATCTTTCATGAGGCGAGGCGAGGCAGGTAAGGCATTGCAGCGTTATAGGAGCGGAGTGCAGGCCTTTGCATCCGTGATATGTTGGCGGATGAGTCCAGTTCGTTCGCTGGGCATATTCAGTTCGTCCTTCATGTAATCACTTCGGTGCGTGCACTCAGATCGTCTTATGGGGTAATCACCTCGGCTGACGTGTGTTACGGTGGGCAACCTTTGCTTACACGTGGCGATGAGGTGGAGGGTGTGACACCGACCCGTAACATAATTTATTAAACAAAATAAAGGTTCACCTAATTGAACTTTTATTTGATATTGGATATCTTCATGAAAAGATGGGACCTTAGTCTCGTTGATCAGCTACCACCATACATGAAATATTATTACAAAGCTCTTTTAGATGTTTATGTCGAGATTGAGGAAGAGTTGGGAAAGACAGGGAAATCATACCTTGTTCACTACGTGATAGATGAGGTAATTAATTAATTACTAGGTATTTATCAAATGTATATATTCCTAAATCATTAATGTGCCAAATTTCAGAAGAAAAGAGTGGTAAGGGCATATTTTCAAGAGGCAAAATGTGAGTACAGTGGCTATATTCCGACCCAAAGTGGGAAAGCCATCTAGCACTTTTATATTGTCTTCTTCAGTTTCTTTGACAGACATTGGAGAGTTAGTGAGCAAGGAAGCCTTTGAGTGGGTAGCAAGTGATCCATTAATCCTACAAGATTCAGAAATAATTGGTAGACTAATGAACGACTTGGTAGGATACGGGCTAAGAAGTTCATATTTTTGTCTTCGATGATGGTCCTTACAAACATACCACAAATCCAATAATCGATTAAACAGGAGAGTCGTGCTTGTCTTCCTCTTCCACAGGTCTCTTGGACCTGTAGGTTGGCCTAATTTGGTGTTTTTGTTTGTATTTTGTGCAATTTGAGCAGAAAACATCAACAGTTGGCTGTTACATGAATCAAAATAATGGTGCCTCAAAAGAGGAGGCTTTTGCTGAAATTCAAAAACAAGTTACGAATGCATGGAAAGTCAAACCAAGAATGCCTTCGTCCTGCTGTGCCAATGGCTTTCCTCAAGCGAGTATACTCATTCAGCAGACAAATTAAAAGATACCACAACTTTGTTATTGATTCAACCTGTGACAATACCATGATCAATCGAGTAATGTTTGTAATAATCGAAAAATACGGATGCCCATGTGTCTGTATCCGAAATTATTATATGCAAAGTCTTGGAGAGATCTAAACAAATAAACTGTTCGACCTCCAAAATTCCTAGGTCGAACCAATTTAATATTCATCAATTCTTTTCACATTCACCATTTTGTCTATGTCATAAACACATAATATTATGCAACCATTGATAATGTGATAATATAATATGATTTCTGTTGACCCCAAAAAATGGTCATATGACGTGGCCAACAGAAAATTGGAGATTCAAGTCCTTGTCGATCGAATCGCAATATACTCGAATCTAACTACTAACTATATTGATGAATCAATGTAGGGCATGATCCACATCCTTTTATAGGTTGTTATAATTGCTTGGTGCATAAAAGGGGGTCAACCGTTGAGTGTAGTAGAGAGAATCAAGGTTTACTTTGAATGTACAGACTTGTATCGTCCCCTTAACGTATGGAGTGTAGGCTTTTTATATCTCATGTTGAGTGAATGAGATCCGTCCGATGGTAAAAGATCTAATGGTTTTTATTAGGGTCAATCAATCAATCAAACCATTAATACTTAGATCCCCTTATCTTTTTCCCCAACATAGGATTTGACTACGTATATGTGTAGAGACGGCACTCGCAGGGTGTTGTCTTGTCAATCATTTCATTAAGTTTGTTGTTGGTTGACTTACCGCCTCCTCAGAGGTGAGTTGATGCCTCTGCCAACGGGGATCAGATGATTAGCGTTTGGATTGGGATCGCTTCACAGGGTCGGATCGCCTGTTTGCTGTGCCACCTGTGGGCTCGTCGGCTTGCCACATAGAATTTATTTTACGATTATTTATATGAGTAACAATTTCTACTTACACAAATATCATGTCACAGAATTTAATTAGAATTAAGTGAGGCAGTCTTCCATATAGACCATTTTCCCTTTTTTTCATCCTCTGACCGGAATGACAATTCAAGAATCAGAAACCGAGCACGCTAGAAATGCGATTTAAACTATCGAGTGCAAAAAAATCAATATTAAAATAATTTCTATATTTGTATGTGCTCGTGAACATCAACATCTAATATGACAAATACAATAATGAAATTCTAGTTCCTTCCATGTATTCATGACCACCCTATCAAAGAGTCCATAATAAAGTATTGGCATCGAATCACAGAAAAAACCAAAATAATTGGAAATTCGATAATTTCTGTATATAATGCATATATGCATTTTTTCTCTCTTTTGCGCATTCAATTGGCACAAGTTGACTTTCATATGAAACCCATCGTTTCATACACTGTCAATATTTTTTTAACGAGATGCCGTGCGACAAGTATATTTTGTACACTTATCTAAACTATTAAATTAGAGTATTTGTTAGTGATTTGGATGAGTTATAGCTTAATTTTGTGTTAATTATGTTTTTTAGGTTGAACTCAATACAAATTAGTTGTTTTGGAAGAAATCAACGAAAAATGTGCGAAAACAAAGAAAATCGAAAGTTTGGGGACCAAAGTGTAAACATCCATTTGTTGATTCAGAGCACAAAATGATAATTGAAGATCATAGAGGATCAATTGAATGCAATTGGAGGTCAAATGAGTGAAATATAATGGAAGTATTTTCACAAATCAATTTCTAGCTGAAGAAGTTATGCTCCAGATTTTTAGCCTCAATTTGAGACCCATTTTTCGGATAGAAAATGCTTGACATGGGAAAATTGTATCTATAGAAGAATTTTATCTTCTGAATTACCTTTCCAACGCATTTTGAATCACTTCAATCGGATATGTGTAGAGAAAGTTATGGCCAAAATATTGAGAGCTACTCATAGACGAAGCGAAGCGAACCTGCGAACGCAGGCAATTCATGGCGCGTGGGGCACCCTATCTTCCCCAACCTGAGAACCATTTGGTTCTACGGCGTGCACGGTATTTATACAAGTCGCGCGATGGCCATTTATGGGCCTGAACGGCCCAACTTCCTAGTTTGATTCAGTTTTTTTATGGAAATCAAATTCAATTTACTATTTAACCTATAAGGGGACGACCAGAATGGAAGAACATATCAAAACCCTATTTTTCACCACGAGAAGGAGGTTAGCACGGGATTCAAAGGCAATTAATACAAGAAATTGAAGATTCAAAGTCGGACTGAAGATTAACAAAGAAGAAATTGATTTTTCACTTTCCATTCATTGTTTTCAATTCCGGGTGATTTTTTTCCATTCTTTTTGTGTAATTTACATGACAACATGCTAGGCTAATTTTTTCATGTATTGGATAAAGATGAAACATATTTGTTATTTTTTTAAAATCAAGACTAATAGTTTAATTTATTTTTTTTGCGTTTCTTGATTAATTTTGCATGACCATTGCATTATTTAATTGTTTGGCCCACAATTAGATAATTTGTTTATTTGTCTTAATTCAAGACTAGTAGTTTGGTTTATTTCTTGCATTTCTTGATTAATTTTGTATACACATTGCATTATTTCATTGATTGGCCATCAATTAGATAATTAGTTGCTTATTGTACTGTTGGGAGACTCACAATAAGTTTAGAACGCGGTAAAATTAATATATGTGCAATAGATGTCAGGAATAACATTTATCAAATATGCAATCATATAGATAATTTAAAATTTAATGCATTCTAATCATTCGAATTCGGGTTATAAATAGATTCGGGTCGTGGTTAAAATATATTTAATTTGTCTTGAAAAAAAAAATTATAAATCATAGTTTTATCGATTGTCAAAAACTTTTGAACGGAACTAGATTATAAATCAAGAATTAAAATAGATAGCAATAGGCGGATTCGAGGTCCAATACAATCATCTAAAAATTGATAAAATCCACATTTTTACAGTTTTCTTAGATTAATTTAACATAAAAATAAAATCAAACTCTCTTTTGTTTACATAATTCAAGTCTCATAAAAATCTAGTAAACTTGAATTGAATTTATTCCATGTGGGACGATATTCTCAACCCATCAATTCTATTACTTGTCAACAATTCCATACGCTTTCGGGGTTTCACAAGAACAAGTTTTTGGCAACGCTGAGTAATAAAATATTTAATTTGAGTTTATTAGTTTATATAGGATTTAAATTTTTATTGATATATTTTTGTTTTGTTCATTTTGGCTACCCACCCAGATCTCTTTTGTGCTTGGTATTCTTTTAGGTACTATTCAACAGTATATGCAAGATTCTATTGATGGCAAGGGAGTAAAATTTTTTGCAACAAGTAATCTCAACATGGATGATGAGGATATGTTTGTAGAAGACATAAATTGTGAGCTTTGTAATGGGATGCATTATACTGGGCAATGCTTGTATACATGCACTTATCCCTTTATGTCCAAACTTCTGCAGTTTAAACAATATTTAAGATGTCGACAACAAGCAATTTACAAATTTGATGAAGGCTACATGCCTAAGAGCGAATATGTATCTACACATCCAGTTGATGACATCATTCATAAAGGGTTTGGACCTCCCTTATTGAACGAAGAGGAACTTGTAAAATATTATAATGAACTTGCTATGTTGGATGAAAGAAAAATACGCACAGAAAATTATGTATTTTGGGATGAATTTAAAAGGTGGAGATATAATCCACTTGAAAAGGTTGGAAGGAAAGAATTACCATTGTCGGTGACTTTAGACTGTGAACCGGCGATTTAACTCGAGGAGAAATCAATTATTGAAGAAGAGCAAAGAGTATGACAAACTAATTACAATGGAACCAAGCGAAGAAGTGGCAATTAATGATGATGAAATTAACACACATTCTTTCGACGTCATCGATTGTCCAACAGTTGAATTTTTGATTGAGTCCGAAGAGGAAGAAGTCTACATAGTTGATTTAGAATCGGATGGAATAGGCAAGTCATATCACATTGAACGAAGCAAGGTTCAGATTTGGAGAATCAATCAAAAGAAGATCAAAGTCAAAATAAGCAAACTATCCAAAGCTTTCTTCAGAATTTCATGATACCAAACATCAAAATCAAGCTGATGATTATAAATAAATGCTTATTTGGAAGCATCCATGTGACATTCTACCCTTAAATTAATTAATCTTTATTATTTTTTTTTTATCATTTTATTTTATCTCATTATTAGTTTTTAAATTATACTAGGATCTAATAATTTGTATCTAACTCAAGTGGGCATTTCGCTGTAAAATCAAAACAGATGATAAAGGTCAAATTAATAATATAAAGAGTTAAAAGAACCGCTAAATTTATATTATAACAAAAGAGAGTTTGCTTTACAAAATACGGTTAACAAGTTAGCTATATGACAATCCAAAAATCTCTAGTCACAAGAAGTGCTTGCTAACTTTTCAAAAAGTTTTCCTTATATCTAACCTATAGCAGGCTCATGTGGCGGGATATCAATGTCGCTAACTCGTTCTATTTTCACTACATTCTTTTACTATGTATCATCACCCTATTTTACACGATATCACTCTATTGTCTACTCCATGGATATTGGTGTGCTGTCGCAAGCACCCAAAAATAGTCCTTAAACCTCTAAAACTAATGTAGTAGTGGAAGTAAGGGTCGATCCCACGAAGAGTGTGTAATTCAATATTTTATGCTTCGTACAATGATTGGGGGGTTTTTGTATGCAACAATTGTA